AAGAAGAAGAAGAAGAAGAAGAAGAAGAAGAAGAAGAAGAAGAAGAGGACCTGTAATTCTATAAAGAATTGGACCATAAAGAATTGGTGGTCAGTCTGGGCTACATAGCAAGACACACCCCATCTTAAAAACAACAACAACAACAACAACAACTAAGATTGGCATTATTTATTTATTTAGATTTTGTGAGGCAGAGATTCACTTTGTTGCTCTGGCTGATCTGGAACTCACTATGTAGAATAGGCTAGCCTCAAACTCAAAGAGATTTGCCTGTCTCTCAGTACTGAGATTAAAAGCGTGCATTACTACAACCTAGCTTATTCACTTTTAAGTTCCTGTGTGTGTGTGTGTGTGTGTGTGTGTGTGTGTGTGTGTGTATGTGTGTACATGGGCAAGAGTGCTCCAGAACTACCCTGCTGTGTATGCAGTGGTTAGAGGATAGTTTTTGAGGACTCAGTTCTCTCCTTCCACCATGTGGGGGGCCCCAGGGAAGAAATTCAGGTCACATCAGATTTGTTAGCAAATGACTTTACATGCTGAACCATCTTCATGGCCCAAGACAAGCTTTAAAGATAAATTGGCCCAGGGGCTGAAGGATTACCTCAGTGGTAGAGCGTTGCCTAACGTGCTGAAGGTTGTGGTTTCCCCTCTCGACACCGCAGTAATCAACAACGACAGTAATAATAACAGCCACCCAGAGTGGCTTTTGAAATAAGGACTGGGAATGTCAAAGAAGAAATGGCAGCAGGGAGGCCTCCCAGAGGAGCCTTTCTATCCATAGCCCATAGGACTCGGTCTACTTGGAATATCCCAAACAGAACACCAGGCGACATCTGGAAACCAAGCAGCTTGGAGAAGCTGATTGATGGTGGGCATGCCATAACCAACAGTACTGATCCACTGTATCCATCCTTCTGAGAACTCATTAAACAGTAACTATAGATTACAGGACACCAGTGTGATGTTTTGAAAGAAAATGGCCCCCAAAGGGAGTGGCACTATTAGGAAGTGTGGCCTTGTTGGAGGAAGTGTGTCACTGTAGGGGCGGGCCTTGAGGTCTCTTTTGCTCAAGCTTCCCTCAGTGTAACTGTCAACTTCCTGTTGCCTGCACGAATTAGCACTCTAAGCTCCAGCACATCTGCCTGCACACTACCATGTTCCCCATCATGATGATAATGGACTGAACCTCTGAAACTGTAAGCAAGTCATGCCAATCAAATGTTTTCCTCATGAGAGTTTCCTCACTGTGGTCATGGTGTCGCTTCACAGCGATAGAAACCTAAGACACCAATAATTCCTCAAGTGTGGCAGTGGTTTTGTGGTTGTTTTTAAAAAGAAAGACCATTTCCTTAAAATGTATATGGAAGTATTTTGGGAGAAAGTGGCATGTCTGGGTTGTTTCAAAATAAGTTCAGGGCTCCGTGGTTAAGAGCACTGGCTGCTCTTCCAGAGGACCTGGGTTCAGTTCCCAGCACCCATATGACTGCTCACAAGCTTCTATAACTCCAGTTCCAGGGGATTTGATGCCCTCTTCTGGATTCCATAGGCACCAGGCATGTATGTGTGCACATTTATACATGCAGACAAAACACCCATACACATAAAATAAAAATAAAAGCAACCAGTGGGGCATTGGTGGAAATATAGATAAACACACCAATATTTCAAGATGGAATTGTGATTCCTTGTCTGTTAATCCTGGCACTTGGAGGGCAGAGACAGGAGAATGGAGCATTTGAGTGATTAAAGGGTGGGAGACGCCCAGTGCTTAACAGCACTTCCTGCTCTTGCAGGGGACCCAAGGATCTGAGTTTGTTTCCAGCACCCATATCAGGTGGCTCACTACTGCTTGTAACTCCAGTTCCAAGGGTTCTGATGTCATCTCCTGGCCTCTGAAGGCAATTGTGTTTACATGCATGTACCTACACACAGAGATATAAACACATAATTAAAAATAAAGATAAAATCTTTAAAAATAAAACAAATAAAACAGACCACACACGACTTAGGGAAATAAAATTACAGCAAATTTAGCCTTAAAGACTGGGGATATAACTCAGTGGTCGAGTCCCTGCCTAGAATCCCCCAGTGAGGGGCTGGGGTGTGACTCAGTGGTCGAGTCCCTGCCTAGAATCCCCCAGTGAGGGATTGGGGTGTGGCTCAGTGGCAGAGCCCTTGCCTAGAATCCCCCAGTGAGGGGCTGGGATGTGTGGCTCAGGGGTAGAGCCCCTGTGATGCAGGAGGGTCATCTGCCTATGTGTTACTTTCATTGGTTAATAAAGAAACCGCCTTGGCTTTTTGATAGGGCAGGATTTAGATAGGTGAAGTAGACAGAACAGAATTCTGGGAGAAAGAAGGCAGAATCAGAGAGCTGCCCACCATGAAGCTGCCAGGTCAGACATGCTGAATCTTTCCCGGTAAGCCACGACCTCATGGTGTTACACAGATTATTAGAAATGGGTTGAATCAATATGTGAGAGTTAGCCAATAAGAGGCTAGAACTAATGGGCCAAACAGTGTTGAAATGAATACAGTTTCCGTGTCATTAGTTTGGGGGTAAGCTAGCCGAGATCTGGGTGGGAACGCAGCCCACTGCTCCTTTTACACCCCTGCCTAGAATCCCCCAGTGAGGGGCTGGGGGCATGGCTTAGTGGCAGAAAGCTTGCCTAGAATGCTGGAGTGTTGGGAGCCAGGCTGATACAAGGCTTTTCCTGAGGCTCTAATGTATGGAGAAGGAAACCAAGAGTAGCAAGGCCAGTAATGGCCCAGTGCCAGGCCCCTAGGGGAACTCCAATTTTGAATCCTGGAAACCTGACTCTTCTCTTGGGCTGTGGTTATCGGTATGTATCAGCTGTGTGATTGGTCTGTGATGCACTGATATCCTGGGTTCCTATTATGAAATCTTGCTTGATGAGCTTCCTGCTGACTCTGTCCAGTTTTCCCCAACAACAGGATAGGATGTTTGTACTGCTTAGTAAACTTGCTGGGTGAGTCGTCAGTGCAGACAGACCTTCCATCCCTGTTCTCTGTCTTGTTGATTTTCTCATCCCTGGTCCTCCCCTTCCACATCTCACCATTTGGGATCCTTATTCCTATAGGATGATGTTGGTTTGGTCTGTTGGTTCTGATGAAGAAGGTGGAGCCCAACCAACAGCCACCTGTAAATTTGATTTGACAATTCCAATAAACACACAGAAAGGTGATTGGTCTCCTTAACCATTCGGAAAACATAAATTGAAACTATTACACATGCTGCAGATGTCCAAACAAACAAACATCTTTTATTGTTGGTGCCAAGATGAGGCACTCCTCTGACGTGGAGGATGGAGCGGCTGGCTGGCAAAGTCGTCAGGCAGCTCCCAACTGCAGTTGAGCAGTTGTCCTTACAGACTCTAGGAAACGTGCCTCTGCGTACGTGCACATCAAGATTTTAGGACAGCCGCTGCTGGCTTTGTTTTCACAGGCTGAAACGACCAAGCCAATGTCTGCCCACAGTGCGTGGTAAATCAATACTCCGCAAGCCACAAGATGGGAGAAGACCTGCCAAGCACAATTCGGAAAGAGTTTAGGCAATTAAGGTTAAGGAGATAAGCCAGACACAACAGAGCAAGGCAGACAGAGTTCAGGACAGAGGTGCTCTTTCTTTGGACTTGGAGGCTTGCTCGGCTGTCCTGGTTGACCTGGGACTCACTGCTCCCAGTGAAGGCTTGTGCCACCAGGCCCTGCTGATGGTGCCCAGGGCTTGGAGCATGCTAGACAAGCACTCTCCCAACAGAGCCCCAGTCCCAGCCCTGCCTCTTTTTCTGTGTTCCTGATCCCATGAATAGTCATCGGAAGACACAAATGTCCACATACTCAGAGTCCAGATCTCAATGACTCCAGTTGTGACAGGAATCTCCCACATGGCAAATGAGTCTTCAGCCAGTGCCTGCTGGGTGTCCTCTAAATCAGTTCAGTTCCAACCTTGGGGATTACTCTTGTGGACCCAAGACTGCCCTTTGCCACAGATGCTCACTGCGAGCCCCAGGGCAGTGAGGGCTTCCGATGAACTGGCTGTGAGTTGAGGCTGCAAAGCCCCGTTCTTGGGTTCCCTTAATTTTTTAGGTTAGCTCACAGACCTCAGGAAAACACTCATTTCACTTTACTCTTTCTTCCCTCTCTCCCTCCTTTCTTAAAAAACATATTTGTTAGCCGGGCAGTGGTGGCACACACCTTAATCCCAGCACTTGGGAGGCAGAACAGAACTCTGTGAGTTCGAGGCCAACCTGGTCTACAGAGTAAGTTCCGGGACAGCCAAGAAGAAACCCTGTTTTGAAAAACAAAAAAACATGTGTGTGTGTGTGTGTGTGTGTGTGTGTATATATATAAAATATGTTTATTACTATTACTATGTGTGTATAAGGTACATGTACAACGTATGTATAGATGTATGTTATTGCAGGCTCACCTTCACTCCAGCGTGAGGGTTAAAGGACAACTTTCAGGGATTCATTCTCTCTTTCTGTCATGGGTTTTAGGGATCTGGGGACCCATGGATTGAACTCAGGTCCTCTGACTTGCATGGCAGATACTTTTACCTGCTGAACCATGTCATTGGCCTTCCCCTTCCTCTCTCCTTCCTTTTTCTCTCTTTCTTCTGTCTCTCTCTTTCTCTTTTCTTTCTGAGGTAGGGTTTCACTCTGTAGGCTCTACAAGAGCAACAAGTTCCTCTAACCACTGAGCCACCTCTCTCTCTCAACGTTTAGGCTTATAACAGATGCATTTCCCTCTGGGTGGTTGCAGGCAAGGTAGGTCTCACAGACACAGCAGGATGAAAAGTTCACTTAGAAGCTTTATTCTTTTTTTCATTTGCTTGATTTTTTTTTTTTGAGAGAATCTTGAGTTGGTTTCAAATTCGAAACAGCGTGGCAGAGGAAGACTTTGAATGCACCTGACCCTCCCGCCACCACACCCTAAGTGCTGGGCCCACCCATGCACCACAATGCTCCATTTTTGCAGTGGTGAGGAACGAGCTCAGGAATTCCTGCTGGCTAGACACTCTGCCAGCTGGTTGTGCTATTTTATAAATGATCATCCGGTGTTTACATCTACAAATGACATCCATAATTTGTTTAAAGAATATATACAATTTATATGAGGCTTCTAAATTTTTTTTGCTATGGTGGGTTTTTGTTTTGTTTTTGTTTTTTGAGACAAGGTTTCTCTGCATGACCCTGGCTGTCCTGGAACTCTCTCTGGAGACCAGACTGCCCTTGAAGTTGGGTATCCACTTGCCTCTGTCTCCCAAGTGTGTGTGCCACTATGACCAGCCTAAGTACATCTCTTTTAAACATTTATTTATTTGATTGCTTGTGTGTATGTGTGAGTGTATCCCTGTAGATACACCTGCCTTGCACGTGTGTGGTGGTCAGAGGACAACCCGTGGGAGCTTTTCCTGTCCTACCTCTATGTGGATTCTGGGCACAGACATTAGACTTTTGAGTCAAGTGCCTCACTGACTGTCTTTACAAACCTAAAAAAAAATCTTGTAAGAAAAGATTTATATGCACCTAGATTAACAGTAACTAATATGTTGTTTATTAAAACTTTTTGTGATATTTAAATTTTTTTACACTTGCTTATTTACTATGTGAGTATATGTGTGTGTTTGAGAGTGCCACATCTTATTGGTGGAGAGACACGCCTTTAATTCCAGTACTTGGGAGGCAGAGGCAGGCAGATCTCTGTGAGTTTGAGGCCAGTCTGGTCTATAGAGGGAGTTCCAGGACAGACAGAGCTACACAGTGAAACCCTGCTTTGAAAAACAGAAATCAAAACAAAAACAAAAGGAATGCCACCTCTCTCTCTCTCTCTCTCTCTCTCTCTCTCTCTCTCTCTCTCTCTCACACACACACACACACACACACACACATTCCTAAGGTCATACAAAATTATATTTTTCTAGACCAGAGAGATAAGCCTATGGGCTATTGTGACATTTTGTTTTGTTTCAGTTTTTGTTTATTTGTTTGTTCTGAGACAGCCTCTCACTGTGTAGCTCTGCCCAGGCTGGAACTTCCAGTGCAGATTAGGCTGGCCTTGAACTCACAGAGGTCCACTGGCTACTACCTCCTGAGTGCTGGGATTAAAGTTGTGCACTGCCATCTAGTTTGTTTTAGAGATAGGGCTCAGGTATCCCAGAGTGATACAGGTCTTTCCTGGTATGTAGCCCAGGCTTTCTTAAGTCTCACTATGTAGCCCAGGCTTTCTTCAGACTCTCTATGTAGCCCAGGCTTTCTTTGGACTCTCTTTGTAGCCTATGTTGGTCTTGAACTTTCTTGTACTGCTTCTGCCTCCATCTCCCAAGGGCTTGGTAAAGAAAACACAGGGCTTCGTCATGTGGAGCAGGACTTTGGCTCTTTCTCTGTATCAGTCTGTTCTACATTGCTGTCACAAAGCACCTGAGAGTATGTGTCTTATAGAGCAAATGGGTCTGAAGAAATGACTCAGTGAATTAACACAGTGAGGACCTCAGTCCAAATCTCCGGACTCTGCAATCCCGACACATGGGAGGTGGTAGTAAGTGGCCAGCGCTACAGTGAGACCCTGGCTCAAAGATAAACAAATCGGGGCTGGAGAAGATAAGCTGAGGACCCAGCTGGAGCAAGGCAACACCCACAGATCTCAGTTTTTACAAACACGAGGCCCATTTTTGGAGAAGTCCTACCTCATCCAACCCCACGGCCTTCCTGCCATCAACAGGAGGCTCTCTGTTTCTCTCTCTCTCTCTCTCTCTCTCTCTCTCTCATACACATACACACACACATACACAACACACATACACACAGAGAGATAAAAAATAGAATAAATCTAAAAATATAAACTAAAAATAGAAAGACTAAGGCCACGTGATTAAAGCCCGGAGATCTCTGCAAAGGGGCAGCCAGGCTGTAGCTGGTTGGTGGCCTGCAGCCCACGTTATTTCCCCATATGAGATGCCATCCCATCTAGATGGCCATTGTCTTATTGCCTGCTTCCCTTATTTGAGACCGTCAATCTATCCACACATCTCAAGAAATGAGGGTGTGGTAGCCATGCTGCCAAGCAGGTGTCCCGGCATTGCCTTCCACAGGGTGCATGCTCACTAGGCTCACTCCAAATCATGCACTGCCTGGAACCTGCAGGATGCATCCTGATGTATCCCACGGCTTAGAACTGGGCTGGTTGCCTGGTTCCTGAACCAGACATGCTTAGGGTTTGGGGAGGCCTCCACATTCTCAGATGCTCAGTGGGGAAGCATCGGACACTGTGTGCTCCATACTGAGGCTTGGGGGGTGGTCAATGTAGGGCACTCCTATGGTGCTCTCACATGTACTGTAACACTGGACCCCACTGATGTTCACTCTCCAATACTCATTCCACTGATTGCATGAAGGGCCCCTGGGAGTGTTTGCTCCCTGATTCAGGAGCCTCTTCCTTTGCCAAGAAGCCTCAGGACCCTGTGCGTTAACCTATGCCTGTAATTTCTAGCACTTGCAGGCTGAAACAAGTAGATTGCTATGAGTTAGAGGTCAGCCTGGGCTCCACAGCAACATCCCTGTCTCCAAAAGAGATACTCTGGAGAAAAGAGAAGCCTCTGGAGACTCAGTGAACACACACACACACACACACACACACACACACACACGAAGAAAGCAGTGACTACCATCCTTGGTGACAATGAAACTATGGGATGGGGTGTGGCTCAGCTCTAGGACACTTACCTAGAATCCCCCAGTGAGGGGCTGAGTGTGGCTCAGTGGTAGAGCCCCTGCCTAAAATCCCCCAGTGAGGGGCTGGGTGTGGCTCAGTGGTAGAGCCCCTGCCTAGAATCCCTCAGTGAGGGGTTGGGGTGTGGCTCAGTGGTAGAGCCCCTGTTTAGAATCCCCCAGTGAGGGGCTGGGGCGTGGCTCAGTGGTAGAACACCTGCTTGGCATGCAAGAGGCCCTGGGGTCCATTCGAGCAGCACACATCAAAACAACCCTAATGGAATGTAATTGACAGGTGACCGCGGTGATAACTGCGGTGCTGTGTTTCTGCAGGCTGTGACTCATCAGTGCTCCTACCATGGCACGTGCCTGCAGAGTCGGTTCTCTCCTTTCACTGTGTGGGTTTTGGGGATCAAGCTCCAGCTGTCAGGTGGAGCCACCTCCCTAGCACTTGTTTGTGGTGTTTTTAGACGGAGAGTTTAGTCTGCAACTCAGGGTGACCTCAAACTTGGGGTTCTCCCCGTATTTAAGCTCTCTAAAGGAATAGATCTGATAGGATAAATACACACACTCACACACATGCACACATGTGCGCACACGAGCGTGCACACACATGAACACGTGCACACATGTACACATGCACGCGCACACAGACACAGACACACACTATCGTTACATGCTAGAGGAGGCCACTGGGGGCAGAGAATCTCAAGTTCCAAGTCAGCCTGGGATAAATAATGAGATTCTGTCTTAAAAACAGAAAGAGAGAGAGAGAGAGAGAGATATTAGTCCCAGCACTCAGGAGGCAGAGGCAGGTCATGCTGTATGAGTTCAAAGCCAACCTGCTCTACTTAGGGATTTCCAGGTCAGCCAAGGATATACAGTGAGTTTTTAATTTCAAAACAAAATAATAAATAATTTTAAAAATTGAGGATGGAGAGCAATTAAGAGCACTGGCTGCCCTTGCAGAGGACCTGGGTTTGGTACCCAGTACCCACATGGTGGCTCCCAACCACCTGTAACTCCAGCTCCAGAGTACCTGAGGCGTCTTCAGGCCTCCTTGGGAACTGCACACGTGGCGCACTTACACATGTGCAGACAAAACACTCATGCACATAGAATAAAAATGGATGCATCTTAAAAACAAAAAGAAAGTAAGTCTTAAAACGGGAAAGGTGGTGAGCAGGTAAACTGAGGGCAGCGGTTGGGGAAAGCCCGGCAAAGGAGGCGACTTTAAAGCAGACCCGAGTTGGTCAGTTTTCGACAACTTGACAGAAACTAGAGCCCCTGGGGAGGAGGAAGCACAGCTGAAGAACTGTTGGCATCAGGCTGGCCTGTAGGCAAGTCTGTGGGAACACTTTCGTGACTGATGATTGCGCTCAGCCTGCCGTGGGTGGTACCACCCCTGGACAGGTGGTCCTAGGTTCTACAAAAGGCAGCTGAGCAAGGCCGGGAGAGCAAGCCAGTAAGCGTCTGCCTGACTTCCCTCAGTGCTGGGCTGCTATGGGGGACACTGAAGAGGGATGCTAAAAAAGACATTCCACACTACCTCAGAACTGAGTATAATAGCAGGTTATTTATTTAGGGGTAGACTCACAGATCACATCACAGCAAAGCACCTTCCTCCCCAGGCTGCTTCTGGTCCTGGTGTCTGTCAGCAATAGGAAGCCAAGCAGGACAGGGTCTCAGGTACCCCAGCTGGCCCTGAACTCCCGCGCGTCCCGTCTTCACGTCTCCTGCTCTGGGATCTTGTTTACAAGGTTTATAGGGAACAACCCCAGGACTTCGGGCCTGCTAGGCAAGCAGCGTACCAAATAAGCTACATCTCCGGGCCAGAGTGGGACTCAGGGGGAGGGAAGGAGGGCACAGTGCTGAGCCCCAAGGAGAGTGTTTCCTCCCTTGAGGACCCATAGAGCAAAGGCCCTGTGCTTGCAATACAATATACCTTAGGTCAGCATTTCTCAACCTCTGGGTTGCGATCTCTTCAAGGGTGGCAATCAGATATCCTGTACATCAGATATTTATAATATGACTCATAACAGCAGCAAAATTAGTTATGAAGTAGCAACAAAAATAATTTTATGGTTGGAGGTTGGAGGTCACCATAACATGAGGAACTGTACTAAAGGACTGCAGCATTAGGGAGGCTGGGAACCCTGGCCTTAGGCAGTCACCGGAGCAAGGGGGCAGGTGGAGGTCACTGGGTCAGAGAGATGACAGGGGTAGATCATGTGGGGACTTGTGGACCACACCTAGGGCTTCGCCTGGTCCTAAGAGCCAGATGATAGGCCATGAGTGCGCTGAGCTAGAAACCCCACACAGCTGTTCCTAGGCTCTTCATGGATGGGTGGGGGAAGGGCTGCTTGCTAGTCCAGGCTGGAGATGGATAAACAGGACCAGGGAGGAACCACGGTGGAGGGAGAAGCCAGCCGGTACCAGGTAGGCCAGATGAAGAGGTGGCTCTGGGGCTGGAAGTGGGTGTGACAATGACTTGGCCTGGCAACCTGGCAGGACCAGGTGGAGTCCAGTTCATAATGGGGTTTCCTAGGCCAACCCTGCTCCCAGGCCTCTGAGTCATAGGGTTGTAGGCACCTGCCGGTGACTGGTTCCAGGTGTCCCCCAGCCTAGGCGGCCGCTTTATTTGGCCTTTGCACAGGTCTCTGGAAGGTGTGGCTTTGGAGAGCTGACCTGGCTAAGGTAAACACAACCCTCAGGCCTCAGAGGCCAGCAGTGGTCCCCCAGTGCCCTCAAACCAGAAGTAGGAAGTGACGGAAGAGAGAAGGAGCGAAGCGGTTCCTGAGTCGGGCATAGATGACCTGCATCACCTTGGGTCAGTAAAGGAGAATCCTGGCCCAGAACCTGCAGGAAGGGTCTGAGGGATGAAGGAAATGCCATAGGTGGTCCTGGGGTGGGCTGCAATGAAGCCCTCTGACTTCCTTAGCTCACTCTCTTGCAGCCCCTCCCCACTTTCCAAAGCCCAACAGTTCAACATTTAAGGTGCCGGCACTCCCAGTCCTCCAGCATCATGGAAAGAACAATAGAGTGTTCTGTAAGGCAACGCTTTGGAGATTTCATTAGAGACCCATCCCAGGGATGAACACCGCCTCCTGCTTCCTTTCCCCAGACTGTTTGTTAACGGGTTCTGTGTTTGCCCCGTGCTGGTGAGCCTCGCCCTATCTTCTGGCTTTTTGTGTCTGTTGTGCCCAAGTTGAGACACCCCCATCGCCCAGAGAGACCACCACCGGAATCCAGTCAAGTCCAGAATGCAAAAGCAAGGTTTATTCAGAGCGTTCTCTAGCCAGGCTTGGGGCTGGACCACTACTGGATGCAGACGCAGCGCAGTGGGGAAGAGACCCCCTCATCATTTGGGGTTGACATATATAGGGAAAAACCGCAAGCCAGGTTTACTCGGAGTCAAGGGGGTTGGTTTTGCTGAGTACAGGGTATGTCCTACTTCTGTATACCCCTTCCTCCTTTGAGCGGGTACTTCTGCTTCTGTGCATGCCTCCCCACTCCCCGCCGCCCCACCACCGCCCTCCCCCTGAGCAGTTATTTTCTGCTCCTGTCTAGACCACAAACTGGGTGTTGACAGGGGCTAGCTGCTAGGGACAGTTGTTTTTTTCCCTGCTGACTCCTATGATGTTGCAAAGGGCATGTGTCTTAATCAGATCCTAATCAAGTGAAGCTTCTTAAAGTTTTCCATGTTCTGGGCTGGAGAGATGGCTCAGTGGTTAAGAGCATTGCCTGCTCTTCCAAAGGTCCTGAGTTCAATTCTCAGCAACCACATGGTGGCTCACAACCATCTGTAATGGGGTCTGGTGCCCTCTCCTGGCCTGCAGACAAACAGACAGAATATTGTATACATAATAAATAAGTAAATAAATATCTAGATAGATAGATAGATAAATAAAAAGTTTTCCATGTCCTTACAGTGTCCAAATTCACTTTCCCTCTCTTGCTGAAGTGGCTGCTATCCTGATGCCATCTGCAGGGCTCCCTCACCTGAGGACCAGGCCATTTGGTTTTGTTCACTCCTTTCTTCTTTACACAGCCTTGGTGATTTAATTACAGTAACTGAGCTACAATGTCCACATTACATCCCCTCTATCCGCGTCTAGAGGAAGAACTCGTTTATAATCGCCGAAGCCCATAGTGAACCGTCTTGTTCAAGCACAATTAGAACATCCCCTGTGAGGCAGTTGGTGAGATGGTTTGTCAGGTACTTGCCACTGGGTTCGATGGACTGAGCTAGCTTGAACTTGATCCCTTAGCCTGCATGATGGAATGAGAGAACCAACTCCCAAAAGTTGTCCTCTGACCCCCAGGTGAACACACACACATACACACACACACACACACACACACACACACACACACACACCATCATACACATACTTTGCGTAAGTGTAATCATAATCTTTCCCCAGCAAAGCAACTCACTGACTGGGTAAAAGGCAGTCTGTCCGTTGGTCACTGTTTTGATACCTGAATCATGGCGCCATGGTGCTCCCCTGTGTCTAGCTTTATGATTGTTCCCACAGCATTCAGAAAAATTCTGCCCCAGCAGATTCTGAAGCCCTTTGTTATAGTTTTCAGCTTAACTGACATTTTTCATTAACAAGCCTTCCATTTGGTTCTCAGAGCTGGGGAAGGAATAATTTCAAAAACTTCCCTTTGTAAAGATTTATTTATTTCTATTTTATGTGTATGAAAGTCTTGCCTGCTTTTATGTGTACCATATGTATGCAGTACCCAAGAAGGACAGAAGGGGGCGCTGGATCAATAGAAACTGGAGTTACAGATGGCTGTGAGTCACCCTGCGGGTGCTGGGTTTGAAGCTGGGTGGTCTGGAAGAACAGCAAGTCTTTCTGATTGCTGAACCACCTCTCCAGCCCTATTTATTTCATGTGTAAGTGTGTGCCCACTTGTTAGTATGTGTGCGATGTGAATTTAGGTGCCAAAGAGGTCAGAAAAGGCATCAGATCTCTTGGGGCTGGAGTTCCGGGTGGTTTGTGAGCCCCCAGATGTGAGTGCTGGGAACTGAATTTCAAGAATACTAAACGCTCTTAACCACAGTCATCTCTCCAGCCCCCATTATTTAAAACTTTAACATTTTATTATTATCAGTGTGTGCGGTGTGTGTGTGTGTGTGTGTGTGTGTGTGTGCATGCGTGCGTGTGTGTGTAAAAGAGAGAGAGAGAGAGAGAGAGAGAGAGAGAGAGAGAGAGAGAGTTGATGGGTTTCTGCCCGGTTCCCGCAGTCGTTAAGTCCCAAAGAAATCACACAGAGGTCTACATTAACTATAAACTGTTTGGCCTAGTATCTCAGACTTCTTATTAACTCTTTTTTTTAATGACTTATTTGTCTTTATTTTATGTGTATTGTTGTTTTGCTGGCATGTTTGTCTATGTGAGGGTGGATGCCCTGGAACTGGAGTTACAGACAGTTGTGAGCTACCATATGGGTGCTGGAAGTAGAACCCAGGTCTTCTGGAAAAACAGCAAGTACCCTTAACCACTGAGTCACCTCTCCAGCCCCGAAATTTAAGACTTTTTTGTTTTGTTTTGTTTTGTTTTCCAGACAGGATTTCTCTGTAGCTTTGGAGCCTGTCCTGGAACTAGCTCTTGTAGACCAGGCTGGCCTCGAACTCACAAAGATCCGCTTGTCTCTGCCTCCCAAATGCTGGGATTAAAGGCGTGTGCCACCACAGCCCAGCCCTTATTAACTCTTATATTAGCCCATAATTTTTGTCTGTGTTAGCCACGTAGCTTGGTATCTATTTTGGCGAGGCAGTTGCATCTTGCTTGTTCTGTGTCTGGCTTCCTCTGTCTGGGTGACAGAAAAGAATATCCTCCGCCTATACTTCCTGCCTGGCTACTGGCCAATGAGCGTTTATTTAAAATACAAGTGACAGGGTACAGACCATTGTCCCACAGCTTGTAAATGCAGGGGCACACGCCATGTTCTCATACCTGTGGAAATCAATGTGTGCATGTGTGCATGTGTGTGTGCAGGGGCATATGCCATGTTGTCATGCCTGTGGAGACAACTTTACTCTTCTCCTTATGTTGTAGGCCTGAGTTGGTGGCACTGTGCTTGCCTAGCATGTGTGAGGCTCCACAATCCCTGCCCTCCCCAGAAAACCCCTCACCTTCTCTTATTCCTTCTTTTCTATAATAAGGAAATCATCTTGATCTAAAAGCAATTTGCATGTAGGTATATTATATTAGCCATAAATCTCACTTCAGAATAATGAAAGAATATAAAAGCATTTGTTATGACATAAATCCATGATGATAAAAATCAAAACAGCAGTTACTCCCGGAGTTAAGAAGTGGGTGGTGAGGAGGCTGAGTGCAAGGGGCTCACAGGAACTTTCTGGAATGTTGGAAACCGTCTTTCCCTGAAGTAGGGCAGTATACAGTTGTCAAAGGCCATCAGATAGCACAGTTAAGGCTGGCAGATTTTTGTTGCAATTCAACAGTAAATTATATCTTACACGAGTGGAATTGAACATACATTCAAAAATATCTGTACAGAAACTTTAAAAATGAGTTTGGCCATTTAATCTTTAATATCAGCACTTGAGTGGTAACGGCGGGAGGATTTCTGTGAGTTCAAGGCCAGCTGGAAAGACCCTGTCTCAAAATCAAACACAAAAACAAAAAAGAAGAGGGAGGGAAGGAGGGAGCAGAGAACACAGCATCAACCATTCAAAGACAAACTGAACACTATGACCATTCCTAAATCGCACAAAAAGTTTTAATTCTGCGATGGATGCACACATGCAGGTGTATGACATACCCACTGATCTACATGTATGGTATGTGTGTATATACATGTGCTGGCTTCTGATGGTAAATTTGAAATGCTGGGTGATGGTGTCCAAAGACTCTGTGCAGGCTTGCAGACAGAAGCGAAGGGTTGGCAGATACAGTTCTTGGCATGTGTATGCTTCTTACACGTGTGTGGGCATG